CGAGTCACATTGTGCCCTAAATTGTTATATTCATCCGAAGAGCTTGATAATGCTACATGATTGTTACTGAATTCCTTTCCTGATATGCTCTCTCATTATTTCAGCGTCTCTCTCATGAGTGACATTTCGTACGCGTCTCTTTTGGACTACCTTGCAACTCTCGAGATTCCGAAAAGAGTTCAACTCGCCAATGACTGGCTCAAGGACCATCTGAAGGTGAGAGCAGACATTTTACGGGCGAGGGCTCGAAAGTTTATGTTTTGTGTGACGGAAAATGCTGCAATAATTTGTCACCACCCCCACCCCCTTGAGCACTCGTTTTATCGCATGGATGGTTGCAATAGACGGGAAATTCGTTGGTTTGTTCCCATACTGGAAGAACATGATGTATCTATCACCGCGATAAAGATAAGTCGCAACTTGCTGCGGTTGGGGGGGGGTTGGGGGGGCTTACACTGTTGTGGATACTCTTCAGACACCAGGAAGCCCATACAGGCCTGAAATTAGAGCGATTTGAAACAAAATGCACCGCAATTCGGCCCGAAAGTCCGCAGCGTATACTTCTTTTGACAACCTATGGTTAGCTTGACTTGCCTGACCTAGCCGCCTCGCGAACGCTCGCTCAAGTTTCACATATAGTGGCTACGTCTTGGTTAGCGTCTGGTTCCAGGAATGTTTCAGAGAGAGAGAGAGAGAGAGAGAGAGAGAGAGACTTTCTGGTGAAATCGACTTGATATAGTGAAGTACTGGAAAGGAACTGATGATTTCAGGCCGTCACCAGCATTAGATCTCGCGATATACGGATAGAGCAACCATACCTTCCACGAATTCGTTCCGGAACACAGAGATCCCCAAAGAGTGGGTTAGAAGAGTTGGAGACGAAACTCCAAAACGCTGGTTTACCTGACACTGTGAAGGTATTTTTGATGAAAGAAATCCTTATCTTTGTTCTGCTCAAATGTGGTGGGCCTGCCATGATTGCAGACTTGATAGCCTTCATTTCGGTGCTAACTTAGTTGGGGGGGGGGGGGACCACGCGGCGGCGCGGCGCTCTGTTCGTCTGCTCCTCCAAGGCTTAGTCCGCCGATGGCGCGTATTTCGAAACTGCCACGTGGCGACGAAATAGTAACTGCCCCTTGGACTAAGCCTTAGAGGAGCAGACGAACAGAGCGCCGCGCCGCCGCGTGGTCCCCCAACCCACGGTTTACGGACTACTTGATTTTTCCTCAATGGTCCTGCCGCGATGGCTAGAGCACAGACGATTAGAGAACGGGTGAATGCCCTAGGACTAAGCCTTGGAGAGGAGAGGGACCCGCGAGAGAGCGCAGAACGGTCGAGGATTTCCTCGACCATGGCTCTCTACCGCGCGAGAGTAGTGCCGAGAGTGAA